AGATTGCTCTTTCTTTTTTTTCTTCTTTTTTTTTTCTTTTTTTTTTTTTATGAGCAAAAGCTAATCGACAAAGATTACTTTAAACCCAGTTCCATCAACAATATGGATGTATTTTACTTTAGTAATCAACTAATTAATCAAATTGTTTTCTTGGCCATCGATCCCTGGGAAAAAAATGTATAAGTACAAAAACAGGTAGACTAATATCCAAATTTTCTTCACCCAAAAATTTGTTGTTTATTCCCTTTTTCCTGGAGATATGCCACGTGGATGTATGGTTCCATTTTTTCTTTTACCCTCTCTTTAGTTAGGATGCATAATTAACTACTTTTAAATTTGTTTCTAATATTAATTAATAATAATATACTACTAGTTATAATACATATGAGTATAAAAAAATTGTCGAAGCTCTTATGACATTATCAAAACTCTTCAAAGAGCTATTTACAATTAGTAGAGAATCCAATAAAAATTACTTTCAATCCCCGATTCCGTCTAATAATGGATATATTTTTGTTATCTTACTTTAATTAATAATCAACCATATCAAACTCTTCAATTGATCATCCTTATAAAAATACAAATACAAACTACAATAACGAACAGCTAATTATCCAAGCCTTTGTATCACTCAAAAATTAGTTATTTACGTTACTTTAATCTTTGAGATGCTGCATGTATTGTGCCATTTTTTCTTTTGGTATCTTTTTAGGTGAGACGCAAAATTACTTGTTTTTAAACTTGTTTTTAATTTTATTAGATGAATATCTGAACTCTTAATAAGGCGATTTGCATTTGGTGGAGAATCCAGTGAAAATTTTGTCAATCTCAATTCCATCTACAATAATGGATATATCTCTGCTATCTTACTTTAGTAATCAACCAAATCAAAAATTATTTTCTTGATCATCCTCATAAGAAAAAAAAAATACAGAAACAAATTGACCAATATCCAAATTTTCATCACCAAAAATTTGTTGTATGCATTACTTCCTCCAGATGCTGTGTGTATTGTCTCATTTTTTACTTTTGCCATCTTTTTAGGTGAGACACATAATTTGCTACTTTTAAACTCATTTTAAATCTCAATAGGTCAATATCAAACTCTCAATAGAGCAATTTGCAATTAGTAGAGAATCGAAAAAAAATGGCTTGCAGTCCCAATTCCATCATGAATATATATTTTTGTGATCTTACTTTAGTAATGAATCAACGAAATCAAATTGTTCTCTTGATAATCCTTAGAAAAAAAAACAAGTACATAATCAATGAGACGACTTCACATTAATTCTTCAAGGCCATAAATCTTCCCACAGTGTGGTGAGTGCACAAGTGAGCTTGATATATAGCAGTGTAATTGTCCAACCTGCCATGGGTTTTGCCTGTCTTTACAACAACCTCAAAACTCTTCTTCTCCAAGGCATGAGAGAAGCAGAGACTAGCTAGTAATGGGCTTGTTTGTGATTTGCACTCGATCCTCTGCACTACTAAAATTCAAGCTTTCAGCAACATGGAAGCATGTTGCTGAAAGCGCTTCCCATGTTGCTGAAAGTCCTTCAGCAACATGGGTTTGGTTGCTAAAAGTTTTGTTGAAGAAGGCTTGTGGGTAATACATTACCAACCAAAATCATGTTGCTAATATATCAGCAACATAAGCTATGTTGCTGAAAAAAAAGTATCAGCAACATAACTTATGTTGCTGAAAACTTTCACCGGAATCTAGTGGGGAAGGGAGGTGAATTTCCTCACCCTCTTCAGCAACATAAGCCACGTTGCTGAAGATGGGGTTTCAGCAACATGGCTCGTGTTGCTGAAAATTAGTGGTAAACTACTAAAAATTAGTGGTAAACCGACGACCGGAATTTGGCCTCATTTTCAGCAACATAAGCCATGTTGCTGAAACTAGATTTTCAGCAACATGGCTTGTGTTGCTAAAAGTTAGGAGGGACTAGTTGATGGTGATTATTGATGTACTATCAGCAACAAGGAGTTTGTTGCTGATAGTGAGTTGAATAGTAATCCTCCATGCTTTCAGCAACTTAACTTTTGTTGCTGATGTTTCAAAATGTCTAATAAAAAAAAATTATACATACTAATATTTTAAACATATATTCTTTATTTTCACTTATATTATAATTAATATATTACATTAAT